AGGAGTTGCAGTGCTTGTGGCCTAAGTTACCTTTCAAGTTTATTTTAAACCTTAGAGCTCTTTAGCCCACGGTGGTGAGGTTTGCCAAAACTCAAGTTCTGACTGCTGGAATGGACGATTACCCTCTGGCTAAAGTTGATCTAAATGCTCCCAGCACTAAATTCCAATGCAAAGGCCGATAATTACTGTCCTTTCCTCTTGCACAAATGTACAAATTCTCTCTCAGTGCCACACAGTCACTGCCAGGGGATAGGGGAGGGGTGATGTTGGTAATTCAAGACTGTCTCTCCTACTCTCTTCAACGCCTCTGTCAGCAATATGCAGTTAAAACCAGGTACTGTGATTGCTCGCCTGACTTTTGGTTCTTATGAAGGTGCTTTTTTTTGTGTAAATAGTTGTCAAAGCTGGTGTTCCTGTGGGGATGGAGATCGGTGGAGGCTTCTATTTGGCTATCTTGCTCTGTCTTCCTCATGTTATTTTCAAAATCCATTTTGATTATCTCTCATTTAATTATTGTGTTTATAACATTTATATTTAATACAATTGTATTTACATGTTTGGATTCAGATGTGAGAATCTAGAAAATAATAAGTCCTTATATTTGTGTTATTACAAAAATTTTATAAGATCAAACCTATTTAAAGACATGTCATTATGTCACTTAATTTAGAAATTAAGAAATCTTAAATTTTGAAGAGTTTACCCATTGTATATAAAATATATTGTATTGGTTAATTTCTTATAAAATCAGAAAATATATAGCTGCCTTTAAATTAGTATTAACACATTCCAGTGATCAAAGATTCATCTGTTTATCAGAAACAGTACATGAACCTTTTAAAATACAATTTTTACACTTTGTAGTCCAGAATTGTAATGTTAAAGACTCTTTAAATCATACTTCAAAACTTTTAGCTCATAAGTAATACAAGCTATTATTTAAATGAACTCACATTTTAAAAATAAAAAGTACAGTGAACAGCATTTTTTATTTTGCTAGATTGTTTGGACTAGAATATAACTAGAATGTATATGTAACAACAGATATTTGAAAAAATCAAATAACCTACAATTTCCAAAGTGAGAGAAAAAGAGAAGAACATCAAAAAGAGGAGAAAAGAGCTGGCTTAGGCAACTATTATCTCTGTAAAGGGCTAATTCTCTTTCTTCTGCAAGGAGAGGAGATAAAATCTGATGCAGAAAAACTCATTTGGACACAAATACACAAAAGAGAGTCACCACAGTTGATTTAAAAATACTCAGGCCCTTCACAATATTTTAAATAAACTTCTATTGCTGAAATAATTTTCAAGTAAGGGCATAAGGATAGTACAGGGAGGTCCCAAATACCCCTTACTTATTTTTCCCTATTGTTAGCATCTTGCATAACCATGGTACATCTGTCAAAACTAAGAAAGTAATAATGGTACATTACTATTAAACTTGAGACTATTCATGTATCAGTTTTTCCACTACTGTCTATTTTCTATTCCAGGATCCAGTTTAATACAGCACACTGCATTCAGTCATCAGTTAAGTTTCCTTAGTTTCCTCTGGTCTGTTACAGTATTTCAATCTTTCCTTGTTTCCCATGACATTGATAATTTTGAGGAATACTGATCAGGTGTTTTATAGAATGTCCTTTAATTTTAGTTTGATTTTTTTTTCATGTTTAGACTAGATTGGATTATAGGTGTTCAGAATACCACACACGTGAATTGCCCTTCTCATCACAGTATATTGGGAGTATATGCTATCAACATGACTTGATATTAACTTTGACCACCTGGCCAAGATAGTGTTTCCAGGTTTCTGTACTATGAAGTTACTCTCCTCCTCCCTTTCCACACTCTGTTCTTTGGAAGTTTTAGTCACTAAGTCCAGCCCACACTTAAGGAAGGTGGGAAAATGAGCCCCACCTGGTGAAGGGGGAAGTATTGTGTTAAGCTGAATAATGGTCCTCCAAATATATCTACATTCTAATCTCCTGTCATTGTTCTATAGCAAAAGTCAGTTTTTGCAGATGTGATTGAGGAACTTGAGTAGGAAGAATATCCTGGATTATCTCAGTGGGCACAATATAATTAATTACAAGGATCCTTATAAGACGGAGGCAAGAAGGTAAAAAATGACAGAAGGTGATGTGAATACAGAAGCGGAGATTGTAGTCATGTGGCCAGAAGCCAAGAAACAACATAAAAGAGGGTGGAAAGCAGAGAAGACAAGATGAGATTTAAAGGCCAAATTTTTATGAAAGTACCAAAATTTGATCAGAATCCCAAAATTCTTGAAAATAAACCATACATTTGACATATGAGGGTCATATTTTATTCTTCAGATTGGCAAAAACTGAAAATCAATTATATCTAGTGATGGTGAGTAGGCAGGAACATAAACAGCTGATAGTAATAGAAATTACTTCTTTAGGGAAAAATAATCTGACAATGCATCTTAAAAGTTTAAACACATTCTTTGAATAAGCAATTTCAATTTTAAAAATCTTTTTTTTTTTTTTTTTTGATAAAGTCTCACTCTGTTGCTCAGTCTGGAGTGCAGTGACGTGATCTTAGCTCACTGCAACCTCAAATTCCTGGGTTGAAGCAATCCTCTGCCTCAGTCGGAGTAGTTAGGGCAACAGGCATGAGCCACCACACCTGGCTAGTTTTAAATTTTTTTGCAGAGACAGGATCTTGCTGTGTTGCTCAGGCTGGTCGCGAACTCCTGGCCTCAAATAATCCTCCCATCCTGGCTTCCCAAAGCGCTAGGATTACAGGTGTGAGCCACTGCGCCCAGTCTAGAATTGTTTCTTAGAAATAAAAGCACAAGTTTGTAAAAATAAATGTGGAAGGATGTATATGGTGGCATTAACTTAATGCTGACTTTATTTTTTTAAATTTGGCACAAAAAGGTGCTTATAAGTGCTCTACTTGTTTCTGAACATTTATTTCTCCTCATAGTTAATTCCTAAGCAAATCTTATCCACTTTACCTCCGAAATATGTTCTAGATCTGTTCACTCCTCTCTACCAACATTGTTTTTCCTAGTCAATAAACATAGATCAACCTAATAAAAATTGTGTAATACTCTTAATTTTGGATATATCATAAATATGCTACCATTTAAAAAATATTTTACTACTATAATTAACAAATAGTATGAATTACAGTAGAGATTTAATGTTTAATTTCAAAAAGACTCCATAAATTCTGACAAATGCAAACATATTTACAGTAACTTTTCTTACAATGACTGGATTACTTTGGTCTTTGGTTTTATTGGCAAGAGAGATTCGTGAAAACCATGACTAGATGAACATTGGAGGAAGCATTCCCAAGCATTATACACATAATTTTAGTTTTGCACATTTTTTTGTCTACTGTTACCTTGTTATAAAATTATCTTTTTTTCAAGGAATGCTTCGTAAAGCTTAGTTCTAATATTACAGAATTCATAGTTATGTAATTAATCTCAAAATCACTAACCATTGAAGACCCCTGCTACTTTTGCTTCCTATAACACGAAGTCTATCATCTCCTTGATAATTTCTAATTTCCATCCTTAGAACTTCTTCAGCTCTGCTACTTTTTCCTTAAGACCAGGGTCATAGGCAGCACACTGGTGATAACTCACAGTCTAGATATATTGCATTTTGTTTACAATTTTGTGTAAATAGTTGTTATTTTCTATGTTCAGCATCTTGCTGGCTGCCTTGGGTACAGTACCTCAATTGAATGTCTTCACCTGCATATTTGTGGACATTGAAATCATCTACCATTTTTCAGAGACACTACCTTGTGATATAAAAAAACACAAGCCAAAAAAAAAAAAAAAAAATCCCAAGGAATTTCTGAAGGAGCCTCTCTTAACTATTCCGCTGTTGTTAGAATAATGAGTAACACTGGTATAACATTCTACAATTTACAAGAACATTTATCTGCTTCATGAAACCTCAAAACAAACCTTTGAGACTTTCAGGATCCTAACCACTTTACAGATGAAGATAACTTACATAAAAGTTATGGGGTTTCCTGGATCTGAATCCTTTACTCTTCACATTATATTATTTTGCCTTCCCCAAAACTAATCAAGGACTCCGTTTTTTCTTTTTTCTTTCTCGAAACCATTTCCTCCATATTAGTTCTCTTCGGAATAGACGCCTTTTAAAAAGTCCTCGTTAGTATATCTTCAGGGAATCACAAATTCACTATGCTATTTATAATTCATGAGTTTCTCTATGGTAGCAAGGCAGCAAATACAGGTGAAGAAATAAGTATGCACTTGATATTACTTAACACACATACCCCGTGTAAAAATACTGCTGGTGTACAGTGTGTGTGTTGGTGACGCCGGAGGAAGTGGCCGTGAACAGGCTTAATGCCGCATTGAGTAACTTCAACCTCATCTTGCTCAGGTTCGTATCTCTCTTGAATTTCCTATGGTAAGCGCAAGATGCAGGATCCGTTCTCACAGTTTTTTGCTTACCAGTTGACGTTGGCTGCATTCAGGAACGCCTCGCTCTCTTAAGCCACAGTGCCTTCCTGGTCTCTTCTTCACAGGGTTTTCCACAATCGCTGTTTTTCCTGGGCACGCTGGTTTGCTGAAAGTCGGGGTGGCGGGGCCCAAGTTTCCAGGCCAATTACCTACCTGCCTTAGAGCAATTACGCACTTGTCTCTGGTTGTCCCTGAAATGGTCTAACCATCAGATCGCTCTAATGAACGCCCAGCTTCTCCTGATCGTTTCTTGCTTACGGCTCAGTTCAGACAGTATTTGTTCCGGGACTCTCACCGGGAGGCGGTGTTTACCGGCTCACTTGAGACCTCAATTCCAGACGCCCCGGGACCGTGTTTGGCCTTCCCATTCGGACGCTGCGGCTGCGCTTTCCTCTCCTAACATCACGCTGGCGAACCTCGGAAGGATCAAATTGTCCCACTCGCCAACCTAGCGCGGCGGCACCGGCTCAAAAGGTCCTTTGCAGCCTGCGCATGCGGACTCGGCGACCGCCACAGACTCCCCGTCGGCTTCCCTCCGAGCGGCCGCGGCGGTTTGGAGCTTGCTGACAGCTCTGCGACCGGCAGACGCAGCCTCGTCTCGTGCTTCCACGTTATCCTATCAGAGACGGGGCGGGGCGGCGGCCTCCGCAGCCTATCAGCGCGGACCACGACCCCGGCGAGCCCGGGAGGAAAGCCGCCAGAAAGAAGGCGATTGGACGGCGGCGGCGCTCCGGGGCGTAGCGTCGCCCGGGCCCCGCCCACCGCTGCCTTCCTCTGCTGGGCTCCAGAGCCGCTGAGGCCTGAGCGAGAGCCGACCGGGGCGGGCGCAACTGCTGCCAGAGCGCCGGCGCGTGCTGGTGGGCCACACACTCTTCCTTCTCTTCACTTGGCGAGCCCTCGGACATGGTGGCCCCCGGCTCCGTGACCAGCCGGCTGGGCTCGGTGTTCCCCTTCCTGCTAGTCCTGGTGGATCTGCAGTACGAAGGTGAGTCCTGCCCTGGCCCGGCCGGGAAGTGGGCTCCCGGACCAGGCCCCCCGCGCTTTCCCGTCTGCGCCCGGGCGCGTGTCCCGGGGCGGCTCGGGAGGTGGGGTGAGCGCTGGGGGAGCCCGCGGCCTGGCTTGGGCCTGAGCCCGCGCCCGGTTCCGGGTTTGCCTGGGGAAGAGTCGAGGGGACCGGAGGGCCGCGGGGCCGGGACAGCGGGTTTGGACTAAGGAAAGGGGCCGCAGGAGTCGGAGGAAGCGGAGTGCGCCCCGTGGCGGGGAGCGGGGGCACGGGGCTGCGACTTCAGGACGTCCTGGGATGCGGAGACTTGGGCAGTCTTTGGGTCCCGGCCTCGCTTGGGACCCTCGCTGGGCGCCTGGGGACACTGTCAGTCATTGGTGCTAGGAGGAGGCACTAAGGTGCCCAAAAGACTTCCTTCGCCCTGGCGTTCTTGGGTGGGGTAGAAGTGTCATGTCTGGCTGAGAGTTGGAGTGGACGGTGTTGACTATTTAAAAAGTGAGTAACCATCCCCATTAAGATGCACTGTCGTGTGGAGAAATTGTTAGTTTGGTGCAATGAGGAGCCGCTGTTGGAATTCCACCTCCCGGACGGCCAGGCACTGAGTTTGTGGTTTTACAACTCCCAGCATGGTGCCATTCAACGTATAGCTGGCATTACTTTTCCAAGTTCGCTGTAAAAGGTTCCCTTAAAAAGATATGAGCGATTAAATTTCACTTCAGTCCTGCAGACTGGAATGTTGGCTACTCCAGAATAGCGAAAATAGAGGACTGTCCTATCTTAGATGGCAGCGGGGAGGAGTAAGAATTAAAGCTGATAGTGCCGATTTAACGAATGCTTCTGGCGCGGTTACTGTGCGAAATATTCGAGTGTAATGACACATCACGTGCACTGATCTATTTTCATCCCCGTAAAAAGGGCTAGTTGTCAAGGAGGTCAAATTAAACCTTTGAGTATTCCATTCAAAGGGAGCGAGGAACTAAAAGTTGGGAATTGTTTATAGTGAATTCTTCTGAAAGTTCTCAACCTTTTTTTTTTTTAAAGTCGTACTCCCCAGTTTTTAGGTCTCACCCACAGCAGTGGGCTTTTGCTTTTGCTTCCCCCGCTAACCATATTTTTTGAACCCCAAATCAGAACACATAGTGTGGCAACATTGGGACAAAGAATTTGACAGTGAGGCTGCCCCCAGGAAATCTAAGGGGATTGGATTGTACCACTTTAATATGGGTCATATATTCTAGTTCTTTTGCATTTTCAAAAGCTTCATTCCTCCTGCCCCCGCACCTCCCACCCCTCATCTCTATTATTTATCTCCAGTTATCATTTATGATTTATTTTGGACACTTAAGAGAAAGTTGCCTATGTTCTGTTTAATGGTGGTTTTTTTTTTTTAAGTTACAAAAGTGCACAATTTTGAATGATTGCTTTTCCCACTACTTTGTGAACCATCTTTTTAGAATTGCTGTTCTGTTTATGAGTCTGTAAGGACTCTTTTAACTCTTCGTTTCCCTCCTGTGGTATTTTCCATAAGAAAACCTTATTAGAGAGCTTTTCTGTGTAGGAGGCACTGGTGACATTTTTCAGAGGAGTGCCAGAGTGTCTTCTTTAGGACCATTGTCGTTGTAAAGTAGCGGGGACTTGGTACAGGTAACAGAAAAGAAAGGAAAGGAAGGAGCCTTTCTGTAAGCTATCTCTTATTTATGAAAGCGTGTGGTATTATTCCTGCTTCACAGACCAGGGAACTGAGGCTCCAAAGGTTTTACTAAAGTTCATTTTGTGTGCACGCTGGAGACAGAAGTAGTTGACAACATCATGTGAGTCCAAGCACTTTTAAGTGATGGCAGCTGAGAAAAAAAACCCAGCACTTTTTTGTGATTAACAAGAAGGTTATTTCCTGGGAGGTTTAATACAATGGTTCTCAAACTTGAGTGTGCATCAGAATCGCACATGGAGGGGTTTTAAAACAGAGTGCTGTACCCCACTTACAGAGCTTGATTCATTAGATCTTGATAGTACCTGAAATTGTGCTTTTCTATAAAGACGCCAGATGACCACACTTGAGTTACTGGTGTAATAAATTATATAGAGGAGTTAAATTAGGTGTCTGCTATGTATTTGACACTGGATTTGGTGATGGGGATATAAAGGTAAGAACTGTGTCTTGAATTAGCAAACTGTTAGCCCCTGTTTTCCCAAATAAATTCTGTCTGGATTCATTAATCTCATAGTTCTCTGGGAGGCAAATGGTGCTACTGCTAGGCCTGAGGCTTAATAAAATTGTGTTGTATTAAGGATTTTTGTTAAATAGGTAGATTTTAGCTGCTCTTGTCACACAAAAAATAATTATGTGAGATGATAGATATATTAATCTGCTTCACTCTTGTTAATCTGCTTCACTATTGTAACCATTTTATCTATGTGTGTCTCATACTATGTTGTAAACATCGAATATACACAATACAATTCACTTTTAAAAAAAGAAATGGAGAATGGTTATGAGAGAAGTGAATGTGGAACTAAGAGTGGCACAGGATGGAGAAGAGATGACCTAGTTTTTTCTGATTTTGAAATATTTGTCTGTTTTCTTCTAGATTTTTCTGTTGTCATCCAGAGACAGAAAGTATATATCATGAATTGAAAGTTTGAGTCTTTTAGCACCCTCCCTTCTCAAAGGCCTTTGAAAGAGTGAAGTCAAAAGCACTAGATGAAATCGAATTTTTGGAATAGAAAGAAAACTTAGGTAGTGTCTGCTTTAGTAGTCTCATATTACAGATAAGTTATTTCATTTCTTTGCTAATGGTTTGTCCTGTTGGTGACTTTGAGTAGCAACACAGCCTGGGAACCAAACCTTTTTTCTGTTATAATAGTTTTATCTCTTTTTCTTCCTTAACATGCTATCTGTATCCAATTTTTCTTTATTTCACTGAGCTGATTAAACCATGTATTTTGACCATAGGGAAAAGAATAGTTAAAAATATATAGTTGAAAATCTATACGTATAAAATATTGTGATAATTTTTATTTGAACATAACCTTTTAGAGGTATATTTTGTCTTTTCTAGGATTTTCTTGACATTATCTAAATAGGGAAAGAATAAAGTAGCAAAAATGAGAGACTTTAAGTAATTTATATAAATTAAGTATCATAAAAGGTGGTCACATATTTTCTAGAATTATTTTAAATTAATAAGAAAGGCTATAGGTAGCAGTAGTATCAAAGTTCCAGCTCTCTTGACTAGTTAGTATTTGCTGAGAGACTGTCTGGAAATGCATTGATTTTTATTCTGTGGGGCAGGGGCAGTTGTTCTGGGAGGGAATTCGCTGTATTAATTAGGTTTTATTTTTCCATATGAAGTTAATTAATTGTTATTAAGTTTAATTTCTACTGCTGTGGTCTCTTTGGATTAATGTCCTACAGTTAATCTTTGTTTATATGGAAATATCATGGGAACCCATTCACCTGCTCTTCAGAACTCAAATGTTTCAACCATAGATTTATTTTTCTTTCCATATCTTTAGAAAGCTACTTAAAAAAATTAAATCTGATGAGTTTGTATCATTTGGAGCTCTGGAATATGGAGAAGATTCATTTAATCAGTCAGCAAAGGCTTTTACTAACTATATTACTCTTTGGTAAGGTATATATACATAGCATAAAACTCATGGCTTTTGCTCTTGAGTTTACAGACCACTTGGGGTTTAAGACATGCATTTGTGAAGTATTCATGTCTTATTTTTCTCCTTTCTCACTTTAGACTGAGTGGTCCATTATTGTAGTTAATGCACTGCAAATGCCCATTTATTTTCTGGCCCCTGTAATCTTCTGTTTTACTTACCTGCCAAAACCCAACACTGGTTGAATTCAACTTGGCCAACTCTTTTTATACCTTATAGGTAAACACAGATGGAGGAAAATGGAGACACCTTGGCTGATTAGTCTCATTTATCTTTATTTTTATTTTCAATTTTTTTTTTGAGACAGGATCTTGCCCTGTCACCCAGGCTGAAATGCAGTGGCATGATCCTAGCTTAATGTAGGCTTGACCTCCTGGGCTCAAGCAGTCCTCCCACCTCAGCCTCCTGAATAGCTGGGACCACAGGTGTGCATGACCACATCCCCTACTAAGTTTTTTAAGGTTTTGGTAGGGACAGGGTCTTCTATGTTTGCCCAGGCTGGTCTTGAACTCCTGGGCTCAAGCAATCCTTATGGCTTGGCCTCCCAAAGTGTTGAGATTACAGGCGCGAGCCTGTGTGCCTGGCCCTGATTAGTCTCATTTTAAAGAAACAATCTCAGTTGCAAATGCACGTTAAATACTGCTAACACTCTTACAATTCTTTACTATGTCTATTCTTGAAAATCAGTATTTCAAACATTTTCCTCCCTCCTTACGCCTCTAATTTAAACTCTGCTTTCCTCTCTCCTCTACCTCATTCTTTTAGACCTTGTCTTTATTGAGAAAATGAAAGCCATCACAAGGCAAGTTCTTCTTTCTACCTCAAAATTCAGTAGCTTATCTACATTTGTACCTATTCTGCTACTTTTTCTCATATTAAATAACATACATTGAATGTCTCTATTCCCAGATAAATCTAATCTGTGTAATTGCACCCTGGATTCCATTTCCTGTCACCTTCTGAAAATGTTGCTCCTACAGTTGTATCTTTGCGCTGCTATAACAAAATACCACAGACTGAGTAATTTATAAAAAGATTTCGATCTGAATTTTGGAGGGAACGTTCAAACAATAGTAGATGCTGAACTTCCTGCTGTATCTTTCCTTGGCTAGATTCCACTGTCTTCTGTGTTTCTGCTACAAGACTTCTTTTAGACTCTCCCCCACCTTGCTAGAGTCTTGGCTTAACCTTCTGTTCTTTTTTAAAAAAGAATCTTAGGGCTTTCCTCATTCCTCACATTCTAAGTGCTCCAACCTGAATAACCATCTCTGTCTCTGGGATTGCTGTCTGGTCTGGGTCTGCCACCACCT